CTTGAGGACAAGGTGGATGTCAAAGGGGGGAGTGATGATAGGGACCTGGGCACTACACATAATAAGAATCCATTTAGTATTTTAATGTTGTTCAATAATAGGGTTCTAGGCCCAATAACTTAATTAAGGGCCGGCCCTTTTATGAGAGTATTGTTAAAAAAGGGGTAGGGGAGAATGAATAATGCAGGCAGAAATTAGTTTGGGACTTTTGGGTCTTGGGAGTGCTAGAGGCCACTCGAAGTGTCTCCATTGTGTACTACGTAATTCTCTTTTTAGTTCATCAATTTGATCTTAATTCTAGTTCAATTTGCCGTCAATTTCCTGTGTACCTATCAAACCCATAGAAATTGTAATCATAAAAAGAGAAAAATGATATTTGAGTGTCAAACATGAACCAAAGCATCAGTAGAAGAGCTCAACCTTTACATCACATGTCTATTGAAAATTTAAAATAGGTATAATGGTTTGAGGCACTGAAAGTCTGAAACATCATGTACACTATCTGTTTCCGACTTTTGAAAGACATGGAACTTTTTTTGAATATTATGTTTTTTTGGAACTACTTTAAACTATTTCAACTTCAAATGGTTTGGTTAGAATGTTTGTATTCAACTTTTTTTATCATGTTTTGGTGGTTGGGTGATAGAACTATGGTGTCTATAATTCATATTTTAGTTATTTTTTGTCATGTGGCAACGCCATAATTGTGTCACTGCCACCGGTCATGGAAAAATGCCTTGGCGCCATGGATGTCACCATGTGCCATGACAACTATGGACAGTTTACAGTTGTAATTGGTAATATTCAAACAACTTACATAATTTGGAAAGACAACCATATCCACATTTGAAGGCACATCAAGCAGTAACTGTCGCAAAGAATACTCACGAGCACCACCTGGGTGTAATAATTCGTCTGTGTCTAGATGAATTATCCATTCAACGCCAGCATCCTGAAATAGTAGAAAAAATCCAACTAATACTTATTTACCTAGAATAATACTACGTAATGTTTTTCTTTACATAGAACAACAATGTATGACTAGCACTTTCAAAAGAAAACATGTGGAGTATGAAGTTTGTACCCTTGCCATTACAATAGCCATCTCCATATTAAGAGATTGCTTCACAAAAAGCTCATAGTTGCAAGGTTTGTAAAAGAAACTTGACAGCCATGTTTCATTCCAAATCCGGCTAAAACATAAAAACAAACTCAGTAAGAGCACAAATATTAATGTTAGAATATTTGGGGCTTGTTTCTATCACTTTCTACCTTCTAGTTATGAGAACCAGAATAGTGTAGTTTTCATTTTTAGAGGCTTTCAAAATTCACATGGGTAGTATAGACATGAGTACTTCTTGGTTTATTACTCCATATACAGCTTATATCATATGAAAAATTGACAAGAATAATCTCACCTTTCACTGGTCTTCTCATAACAATCCCACCTTTAAATAATCCCAAAATAATCCCACCTTTGCACCTCATCTTCTTTTATTGGACCCTGACCATGTTTTTCACTCTTTCTTTGAAAATTATACAAATAATCTCACCTTTAACTTTTTAATTATATCCTTATAAATGTGAGATTATTTATATAAGATTTTTAAAAAAGGTAAAAAACTTGGTCAGGGTCCAATGAAAGAAGATGAGGTGCAAAGGTGGGATTATTTTTGGATTATTTAAAGGTGGGATTATTATGAGAAGACCAGTGAAAGGTGGGATTATTCTTGTCAATTTTTCCATTTTAATATTATAAAACCAAATAAAGAAAACTGGTTTCCATAGTGAGCAGGCAATTAATGGGCATACATCAAAGGGTACAAATGTGAGAATAAGAATGTAGTACGACCTAGGACCCAAAAATGTCTAGTTTTATCTAGGGACAGCTCCGTTAGTAAGGTACAGCAATTCAAAACCATTAATTCTAGCTAGACTATTAAATTAAATTGGTAGTTTTACTGAATTTATAATATTCAACTAGTCAACTTGCATAGAAACATTCTTTTAAATACATTTAATATTTAATATATGATACAAATAGCTACATCCTTTCTCAAATATGATTACTTTTAGGACAATTTTAAGGTTTCAAATGGGACACTTTTCTGATAAATAATAGCAAATGGGAGTAAAACATGGTCACGTCTCACGTGCACACATAGGACTATCCTTGTCTTACGCTAAAAATAGGACCCATTAAGTCCCAGAAAGAATAAAAGTGATCGCTAATTCTTTTCTATGAGTGACGGAATCTTATTTTTAGGGAAGAAAACAAACATTCTACTGTTTGAAGAAATGTTTTATGTTCTAGTTCTATTTATGGAATGTTACCATTTTTGGGATAGAGGGGGTATTTATTATTCTGTAACTTGACTAACTTCTAAGCTGTAATATTGCAGAAAAGAATACTCCATAAATATTAATGCTCTGATGCATGCTACAATATAATATTATGGAAAGATAAAAAGAGCAATCAAGTAGAATAATGAGGAGTAATATCTGATTGATTTGCTTGATTGACTTTATTATGATTTGGTTTTAATACCTTCATTACTTAATCTGTTTTAGGAAGTGATTTTCCAGGAGGGGTGTAATGATGTACTCCCTCTGTCCCGTAATTAAGTTCCTACTTTCCTTTTTGGGATGGTCCATATTAAAGTTCCTACTTCAAACTTTTCTTTATTTGGCAAATGATTTACACCAAAACAGTGCCAAACAGTGTCAAACAGTGTTTAAACAATGTCAAACAGTGTTCAAACAGTGCACTCCACAGTAAAGTCAAATTTATTTCTTAATATGCGTGAAGTCAAACTAGGAACTTAATTAAGAACCGGAGGGAGTATGCTACAATATACTCCCTCCGTCCCAATATAAAAGGCACATTTCCCTTTTTGGGTCGTCCCAATATAAAAGGCACATTTCCCTTTTTGGCAAACAAAACAGTGCAAAACAGTGTCCAAACAGTGTCAAACAGTGTTCAAGCAGTGCCAAACAGTGTTCCTCCTAAAAATGTTTGAAAAGGCAAATGTGCTCTTTATATTGGGACAGAGGGAGTAATATTTTGGAAGGATAAATAGAGCAATCAAGTAGAATAATGAGGAGTAATAGCTGATTGATTTGCTTGATTGAGTTTATTATTATTTTATTTTAACACCTTCATTATTTAATCTACTTTAGGAAGTGATTTTCTAGGATTTTCCTTTCTATGTTTTCTAGATTCATATGCATGTAATCCCTCTTATAAAAGGGAGTTTTTCTATTCTAATAAAATATGGAAGAAAAATTAAGAAGAAACCAAGAAGGAAAACTCCCCAAATTTCCATAGCCCTATCTATTTATTATTTATATTTCTTTCCCGTGACGCAAAGAATCCTGGTACATAACATACTCATACACTTTCCTCTATCACGGATTATTGTGGAACAAAAGAAGTAACTTTGTTCGCTAAATTATACTCCATATACATTATGGAATTTAACATAAAGTAAATGAAAATAAGCTAAATGTTGTCAATACAAGCTTAATTAAAGCTAAAACACGGGGTCAAACCTCTTAGCCTGTTGCTCCTCTAGCTCTTTGGTTCTGTAAATTACTTTTACTCCCTGCAAACAGTGCATGGTGATTGATTTCGTTGAATTTATGGGTTAAAAAGAGGAAATTCCAATAACACGAACACAATACACAATTGACAAAACAGTTAAGACAGAAGTACACATTAGCATATTACAAACTTACAGGAATAGACTCAAGCACTTTGGATACTTCAGGAGATGCAGCCTTCCCTTCAACAAAAAGTAAAAATGTTGTCACACCAATGACTTTATGATAAAACATCCATGGAAGAATTTGGTCTAAGCCGCCGGATGTACTTGTTGTAATACATATCTGCATAGTCAGGAACATGACAAGGCGTTAGATGACACTGCAATTCATTATTTGATCTAAGAGAAGACAAGAGATCTTGTATAAATAAATAGCAAAAAGAAAGAGTCAGGTCAGAAAATGTTCCTATATAATAAACCTAACTGGTAAATGAAGCGATCATGAGATTACAGAATATATGATACTAACCAGCATGGCAGCATTACTAAAAGATATCAAAAAACAGTGAATCATTTAACGGATTGTGTTTACATAAATCACACAGCGAACTCCAAAATCCAACCATTTGATGTTCATTATTAACCTATAGACTATAGTTATGGCTTTTTTGGTACAAGAAAAGTATTGATTGAGTGATCTAACCTATGTTCATTTGATGTACCAAGTCCCTGATCTTTGCGTTCATGTATGTTGGAATAGCAAAAGAGACCTCCAGTTGAAACGGTTGCAGGTGACTACCAAAAATAACAGACTATGATGCTGAATATTATAGAAGTCTTAATAAAAGAATATACGCCCAGCTATTCAGGACTCTATGTTTTTGTTGTTTCACTAATTCCTAGTTTTCAATGGTGCGCGTGTGCCAGTTAGGTATGTATAATTCAATTTCAATACTACAAGCAAGCCCCATTAAAGGTATAAAAATCTCAAATCCCAGAAATCGATCGTAACAAACCCTAAAACAAGCAAGTAAAAAAACAACAAAAACAGAATCACACCTTGGGTTTTAGATCTGATACAATATTGAACTGTGAGCCCTTGTAATAAGAGAAGGACGCAGAATTCCGTTGGCCAAGCAGGGAGCAATCAGATGAGTGAGACGAGTGACCTACGGTGGCAAGAGGAGAGCTGTCCATTCCCGGGAACTTGTGAGACTCTTCAGGGGACCACCGCGATATTGGATCGTCGACACCCCCGCCACGCCATTGGAGGACAAAAGCTAAAAGTGAGAGGGATAGAGGAAGGAGAGTGAGAAGGAGAAGGAGCTTGGCGGTGAAAGAATGGGTAGCAGAGGCTGAGGACGGTGGTTGCGGCCTTAGAGAGGCGTAGAGACCCGCCATTGTGGACAAAGGGGCGGGGAAAGGAGAGGAAACGGTCGTGAAATGAAATGTAGGATTGTAGACTACAGTCTTTTAAACAAAGTCTAAAGGGGGAAAGTGTCAATTTGTTACATCAACTTGGAGCTGGGGAGTAAAGAGTACATCAATCTCCAATTGGGAGTAAACGGTACACAAAATTGCAAAACGGGTCTAATTTCGTCCATCAGGTTATTAGGGTTGCTAAATTGCTGACCTGGCCAACGGATTAATGATTTGGACAAAAAAATTAGCCACCTCAGCCACATCTGCTACGCTAGTAGTTACTAACCCTAACTATTTGCTCGTTTGGGAAATTTGAGGGAAAGGCTCGCAAGTAAAAGCGCAGAGAAGAGGGTTCAACACCCTAATTCGAAGATGGAGATGGGGTCTTCTTCTAACGCCAGGTATGTTTCGTACTACCTTACTGATGTAATACGTGTTTTACCTTTCGAATAAAGTGAGTATAAGTAGATGAAACAGCATGACATTGTATGAGATGCATTGAACATATGGAGGGTCCTAGTACTGAAATGGTAACACATTTATTATGAAACAGACAAACAAAGGAGGGTCCTACTACTGAACTTCCGTTCATTGTTGATCTGGGTTTTAAAGATTCAATTCTTGAGGCAGAAGCAGGTCTACTGTTTGAGGATGAGGTAAATTCTGAAAATGAAGATGATGAGGAGTTAATCCATGCTAGGTTATTGCTAAAGAAGCTGGTGACAAATTCAAAGATTGCTGGTAAAAGTAAATACCACAATACCACTGGCAATGAAACATTAGTTCAAGAAGAGGTAGGTGAAGAGGTTGATTTAGAGGATGATGGTAATGAGACAGAATACTTCAGCTCAAGTGATGAAGGAAGTTACAAATCTGGTTGTGACAATGAAGAGGAAGATATTGTAAGAGAAAAATCCAGATTTCCAAGCTTCAAACCAACTGACAATGTTGATTTTAATTTGGGAATGAGCTTTGAGTCAAAAAGTGAGGTTAAGGATGCAGTCAATAAATACTCTGTGAGTAAGAGGTACCCCTTCTATTGGGCTAAAAACTGCTCCACCATGCTTAGGGCCAAGTGTTCAAATTTGAACAAGACTTGCACATGGATGGCCTACTTTGGCATTGAAAACAGAAGTAGCAGCAAGAAGTGGGTGATGAAGACCTACCACCCGGACCATACCTGCAATCCAGGCTGGCAAATTCCTAGTGCCACTGCAAAATGGTTGGTGCAAAATTTTTTCAACACTAAGCCTGGCGTGTCTGAGATGAAAACCAGTGCTATGAAAGAGATGGTTAAAAGAGAACTCAATTGTGATGTATCTCTGGAGCAAATGAAGAAAGCAAAGTCAATCATAAGAAAGCAGGAAAAGGGAAATATAGAGGCTGAGTACAACAATTTGGAGGATTACAAAGCTGAAATCCTGAGGTCTAATGCAGGAAATACATGCATATTACAAATTAAGCAGCCCAGTGATGTTTTTGAAAGATTTTATGTATGCTTTGATTCATGTAAGAGGGGTTTTCTTGAGGGTTGTAGAAGGTTAATTGGGATTGATGGTGCATTCTTAAAGTCTGAGGTGAAGGGAGAAATACTCACAGCAGTGGCAAGGGATGCTAACAATCAAATGTTCCCAATTGCATGGGCTGTTGTGGGGTCTGAGACAAAAGCAACATGGAAGTGGTTTCTAGAGAATCTAAGGGATGATCTACAGATTGGAAGAGGAGCAGGTTGGGCATTTGTTTCTGACCAACAAAAGGTGAAATAGTACTTCAATAATAAATATTGCATTCTTGCCATTACTTCAATTGTTTTTCCTATATTATGAGCATAAGTTTGTCAGGTTTATTCTGTGTTTGTATGTGTTATATTCATTTGTATTCATTTTCTCTGTTTCAGGGCTTAATGCCAGCTTTGTATGAGACTCTACCAGAGGTTGAGCATAGAAGATGTGCTAGGCACATTTATGCCATTTGGAGAAGAAGCCACCCTGGTATTGAATTGCAAAGGCAATTTTGGAAGTGCTGCAAGGCTGCCTCCAAAAGAGAGTTTGAACAGAATCTTGAGGGTCTGAAATCTCTTTCTCCTACTGCTCATGAAGATATACTGAAGGTAGATCCCAAATTTTGGTGTAGAGCATTCTTTGATAGGAGTATAAAGTGTGAAACTGTTGATAACAATCTTTGTGAGGCTTTTAATGGAGCAATAGTGCCTGCAAGATCTCAGTTAGGATACTCTCAGTTGGAGTACATTAGAAAGTTGGTAATGCAAAGGCTAACCAAGAATAGGGACTTAGCTGATAAGTGGGTTGGTCAGTTAGGCCCTAGAATTAGGAGAAGGATAAATAACATCATTAAGGCAAGCAATTATTGGAGGGTGCAGTTTAATGGGGCTGATGGTTATGAAGTGTCTTGTGGTTCTGACACCTATCTAGTTGACTTGGCCAATAGAAGTTGTTTGTGTGAGCAGTGGGATGTGTCTGGGATTCCTTGTAAACACGCCATATGTGCAATTAGGTACAAAGGTCATCCTATAGAGGATTATGTGTCTAATTGGTACAAGAAGGACATGTATAGGCATACATATTCTTTCATGATGACACCTTTAGCTGGTCCATTATTCTGGCCTAAAACAAACATCAAGGTCTTACCTGCTGCACTAAAAGAAAAAGAACTAGGCAGGCCCAAGAAGAATAGGATCAAGGAATTAGGTGAGTTTCCTAGAAGTGGCAAGCTACCCAAGAGAGGTACAACAATTACTTGCCAGTTATGCTTCAAGAAAGGACACAACAAAAAAGGGTGTCCTTCAAAAGAGCAAATACTGCATGGAAATTCTACTTTTCCTTCTGATGACCTTGAAGGTGGAAGTTCAAACCCAACACATGTCAGTTCAAACCTAGAAGAGGTAAATCACTTTTCTGAAACTGTATATGTGACTTTTTTACATTATTGGCATATGAATATATTGGTATCTTGTAATTCTGTTTATGAAAGTTTCAGGAAGCCAATGGTCCTACTGAACCTGCAGCACAAGCAAATGTTGGTGGTAATACACTGCATGCATATTTTACTGAAAACCAAAGCTCAGAGGACACAGGTGCTGATGGTGTATTCCAATGGAGAGGAAATAAAGCAATTACTGCTACAGGTTTGGAGGTATGGTTTCCTATTTATAAAAGTCATTTCATTAGTGCATTTATAAATGAGAAGGAAAATGAATGTAAGTAAAAGATTGGTTTGAATTTGTGCAGAGACTGAGAGCAAGAAATGCAAAAGAAAAGAATGCCAATGCTGTAAGATTAAGGAAAAGAGCTGCTGAAGAGGTGGAATTTCATGCTGATGCCACAACTGCAAGACAGAGGTTCCATGCTTTGTATGACTCCATGGAAGACAATGATGGGCAGTAGTTAGCTTATGTAATATATGGGAAGATCCTATTGCCATTTTTTGCATAATATATGGGCTTGTAAGGATCTTAAACACTACAACATATGTATATGGGCTTGTAAGGGTCATTTGCAAGTTTTTTTGTGTTCTTTTTACTTGCATATGAAATTCAGGTGATTTAGTAGGATTAAACTTGAAACATGTATGTATTAAACTCAATGCTTTCAGTTCATGGGCTTTAAGTTCATGTATTTTGTCAATGAAGTATCAGTTATTCAGTTCATGACTTCATATATGACTTGATGTTTCAGATCATTCTTTAAGTGAGTGATATTTGTAGTCCTTTGAAGTGTCGTTTTCATGTGTTTATATCATGTGAATGAGGTGATATGTCAGGTTTACAAGGACATGTAATATATCAGGTTCATTGAGGGTCTGGTGTTTAAGTCATACTTTGAGGTGAAGTGGTAGGTCATTGTTATGTTCAAAACAGGCCTTACTTGACCTGTTTCTTTGGGGTCAGATTAGAGGTCATTGTGTGCCTAATTTTGAGGGATATCTGTGCTCAGATTTGAGGTCATATATAGGTCATATCAGGCCATTTTATAAGGCCTAATGACAGGTAAAATTTCAGGCCATTGTTAAGGCGATTTCAGGCCAGATTTGAGCTCATGTGTAGGGCATATCGGCCATTTTATAGGTCCTAATGACAGGTCCAAGTTCAGGCCATTGTTCAGGTGATTTCAGGCCACATTTTAGGTCATATGTAGGCCATATCAGGCCATTTTATAGGTCCTAATGACAGGTCCAAGTTCAGGCCATTGTTAAGGTGATTTCAGGCCAGATTTGAGGTCATATATAGGCCACATCAGGCCATTTTATACGTCCTAATGATAGGTAAAATTTCAGGCCATTGTTAAGGTGATTTCAGGCCACATTTCAGCTCATATGTAGGGCATATCAGGCCATTTTATAGGTCCTAATGATAGGTCCAAGTTCAGGCCATTGTTAAGGTGATTTCAGGCCAGATTTTAGGTCATATGTAGGCCATATCAGGCCATTTTATAGGTCCTAATGACAGGTAAAATTTCAGGCCTTTGTTCAGCTCATTTCAGTCTAGATTTGAGCTCATATATACGCCATATGAGGCCATTTTATAGGTTCTAATGACAGGTCAAAGTTCAGGGCATAATTGAGGTCCTAATGACAGCCCAAAATTGAGGTTCATACCAGCCCATTTCTTCACTCTGGTATGGTCATTGTTACAGATGAATACTGCCAAAATTGGAGGTTCATATCAGGCCATTTGATGCTAGTATGAAATACAGTTTTACATCTAGATAAAAGTCATTGTACATATCATAAAAACAAACATAGTACAAATGTTGTGCTACATCATAGCAAAGTAATTGATACACCTAAATTACATCAACTTCAACTGATACATCAAACCTAATCAACTGCTAAATCATACCTAAGAACTAATACATGAAACATCAACTTCTACTTATACATCTAAGAACTGATACATCAAAGCTAAGATATCCATACATCAAAGCTAACAAAATGATACATCAGTTCATAAAACTTCCATTGTAGATTAATCCATTACAGCATCACACATCTTCCAAGCTACCTTCTTGTTCATGCCACTGTCATTCCAAGCAACACATATCACAACCACCACTATCCCTGCAAGAATGCACCACAGCACACTCCAAATCCTCTGTTTTGTAGACAGCCCTTTTCCGTTTGCCTTCTCCTCAACAAGCTCAGCTTCCAATTTGTTTATTTTCCTCAACAAACCGGGAATAATCATCTTGGACCTATAACACATTTCTTCATCAAGCCATTCGAACATGTTGCAAGAGGCACCTGTACCCTATTTGTTTTAATAATAATACCATTAATTCAACAAGAATCAAAATCACCACCAAATCGTAATTAACAAATTTTTATCATCCCAATTCCCTTACTCTTGAGCAGGCGATGAATCGTCTCCCTGGATTTTCATTTGTCCAGGAAGTCAGTGTCTTGGCTGGAAATCCACAATAGCAACTGCCGTAAGCCATCTGCCTGGTTCCCAAACCTGTAAGCCAAAAACATGAACCTTCGCCGGAGGAAGCGATATAGCGGAGGACAGAAACGAAGAGAACGAACGAACTCAACGAAGAGATCGAACTCACCTAGGTTTTGATTGGAGTATTTAGGGTGTTGCTTCTTCTTCTCTGCGATTGTAGTTGCAGACCTATTCCCTCAGATCTCACAAATGAGCAGAAGAGTTAGGGTTAGTAATTACTAACGTGGTGTAAGCGGCTGAGGTGGCTAATTTTTGGCCAACTAACTAATCCTATTGGCCAGCTCAGCATTTTAGGATGGCTAATACCCGATGGACGAAATTAGACCCGTTTTTGCAATTTTGTGTACCGTTGACTCCCAAATGCAGCTTCATGTACTCTTTACTCCCCCAGCCCCAAGTTGATGTACCAAATCGACACTTTCCTCAAGTCTAAAGTATGGAAGCTGTCGTAAAATGAAGAAAAATGAATAAAATGAAGAATAGATTTAAGAGATAGATACTACGTAGTAGAGACCCAGAGGGGCAGTCGCTCCTCCAACAAATTTTTTTTAGTGTATATATATACCAAAACATAATTTTCGCCCTCCCAAATTTTTTTTTTTAAGTTACCGCCCTCCCAAGATACACTTCCTGGGTCCGCCCCTGTTAATATGTGAGATTTTTTGAATTTTTGAGTGTATTTACAAGGCTTCATCAATCTCCTATGTGTAGTGTTTGAGTTTGATGATTAGTCACCTAAATGATGAGTCTACAGATTTGGTGGCAATAACAAATTGAGCCGCCTATTCTAACTAGGTTACAAGGATCATTACAAGAATCAGGAACATCTTGGTGTCCTAGTGACAAGGATGAATAATTCGCACATGTCAATTTGATGGTTTTACAACACTCCCTCTTGAATGTTCATCCTTGAATATGTATTTGTTATCTTATTGCGAAAATGAGTGTGAAAATTAAGGGGTAAAAATTACGACATATAATGTCGTTGTATTTGGATGTACTGTCTCGTTAAAAACCTTATCAGGAAAAACCCTGTGAGATAATAACCTGATGAAGGAAAAAATAGTGCAGTGCATTCAAATACTCCCCCCTGAAATTAACATAAATTTTGAAGACGGTGCATTCCGATTTTCTGTACAAGTTCAATGAACTTCTTCGGAGGTAAATATTTGGTGAAGAGATCGGCTGGATTTTCACTGGATCTGATTTGCTGAACGTTGATCGTCCCTTCTTTCTCAAGGTCGTGAGTAGAGAAATTTTTTGGAGATATATGCTTCGTTCTATCTCCTTTAATGTAACCTTCTTTAATTTGAGCTATACACGCAATGTTATCTTCGTAGATCACAGTTAGGCCTGTCAATGGGTCGGGTCTAGACCCGGACCCGACCCGGACCCGGTTGTTTTTAACGGGTATGGGTCCTTATTTTATTCCGTTTACCCGGACCCGGACCCGGACCCGTTAGTACTTTTAATAAACGGGTCGGATATGGTACATATGATTCCGACCCGTTAAGGACCCGGACCCGTTTAAAATTTCTTATTAGTATATATACACACACTAATACATAAAGAGATTAGTTATAATACTTCAAATAAAAATACAAACTAATATATATGTATATAAAGTGATTAGTTTTAATTCTTTGATTAAAAAGATACAAATTAATACATACCTAATGTATAAGTGATAATATAGTAGTATATAATATGCTTTTAGTCCAAAAGAGCTTTTTGTGACCTAATTTCTAGTCTAATATACGAGTTTTCTGTGGGAGAGAAAGAGACACAAAGTGCGGAATTGTACGCATCTACAACAAACGATATTTTATTCAATAAAAGTACTAATTTTCTATGATAAACCTTGATTTTTTTTTGAAAAGTGGAGATATATTTTGCTTTTAAATTTGTGCACTTTGATTTACATTTCATATACATGTTTTGCTATTTTTAAAAAATTATACAATGTTGTGTCAAAAAAATTATATAATGTTGTGCACTGGTGCATATGATTCTTGGCGGGTCTACCCGACCCAGTTCCGAGACCCGTTGGATCCGGGTTCGGGTCCAAATTTTTAGACCCGCCGGGTAAACGAGTCGGGTCCGGGTCCTTTATTTACTTAGCGGGTCCGGGTCTGGAACACTACGTTCCGACCCGGACCCGACCCATTGACAAGTTCTAATCACAGTAGGGTAAACAGTAATAGGCTTCATACCACATTCATTCTGAATGTGTTGAATCATAGATCGCAGCCATACACATTCTCTTCTAGTTTCATAAAGTGCAATTAACTCTGAATGATTTGATGATGTAGCTGTCAACGTCTGTTTCATATATCTCCACGAGATTGCGGTGTTACCATAAGTAAATACGTACCCGGTTTGTGATTTCGCCTTTTGAGGATCTGATAAATATTCGACGTCTGCATATTCGATTAAAGAGGCTTTTGCGTCTTTGTGGAAGAATAAGCCAAGATCAACTGTACCCACGGAGATAACGGAATATGTGCTTGATCATGTTCCAATGACGCCTTATTGGACATGAGCCGTACCTAGCTAATAAATTTACAGAAAATGAAATATCTTGTATAATATTATTAGCTAAATACATTAAAGCTCCAATAGCACTCAAATATGGTACTTCGGGACCGAGTATATCTTCGTCGTCTTCTCGTGGACGGAATGGATCATCGTGTATGTTGAGAGATCGAATGACCATTGGTGAGGTCAACGAATGAGCTTTGTCCATATAGAATCTCTTCAAAACTTTCTCGGTGTAATTGGATTGATGGATGAAAATTCCATTCTTCAAATGCTCAATTTGAAGTCCGAGACAAAATTTGGTTCTCCTGAGATCTTTCACTTCAAATTCTTTCATAAGATAATTTGCAGTATTTTCAATTTCATCGGGAGTTCCAATAATGTTCAAGTCATCAACATATACTGCAATTATGGCGAATCCCGAGTTTGATCGACAAATGAAAACACATGGACTAATCGGATCATTCTTATATCCTTCTTTGAGAAGGTATTCACTGAGACGATTATACCACAGTCGTCCAGATTGTTTTAGTCCATACAATGACTTTTGTAATTTAATGGAAAACATGTCTCGAGGTTTCGAGCTATAAGCTTCAGGCATTTTGAATCCACCGAGAACTTTCATATAAATGTATGTATCGAGTGAACCGTATAAATATGCGGTCACTACATC